ATTGTCACTTTTCTTGTACCACGCTCTTTTTAACATAAAATAATAAATTTAATCAGTTATGATTATGGTTAATTAACAGGTATTTTGAGTCTAAAATGTTACCTTTATATATAAACTGAACCTCTACATTGGAATTTGGAAATAAAAGGATGAAATGTGAAATTGTCTTGAATACACACCACGATCGGTCACCAATTTTGACGTTTGGTTACATAATAAACCTAAAATTTGTGCTAATTTTATTACAGATATCTATTAATATCGATAAACTCTAATAAAATGAAGAAGGGAAGTGAATACATAAACAATTTAGACCTATCTTAATATTCTCTTGGTTCCAAAATAAAAACTGTGTACAATTTATATGATCTTATTGTATCTGCCTTTGTCTTTAGTTAAATTTCAAATAACTTACCAAAGTACTTTATAATAGACTGCAACATAATTATTTTTGTACGAACCAGTTAGTTATCATATTTATCCTTTTATAGTTGATGTACCGAATTAAAAAATTCCTAAGTTTTTACAATTAAACTATATAGTTTTTAGTCTTGAAGGAGATTTTTTCGGTGTTCGGAGTTATATGGAGGAATAAAAGGAAAGGAAGAAGAGGAAAGAAAAGTTATTCGCACAGAACTTTTGACATAACATTTAATTTTAAGAAAAATTGTCAAGTTTACAAAAATATTAAAATCACATTTCGATAGATACTTAAAATTTCCAATCGCTTTTCTAACAATCACATCAATTTGTTATACAACAATAACAATAACAATAAATTTAGTCCTTTTGAAGTGAATACAATCAGTTAAACTAGAAATTTAACATTTATCCTGTTTTTAAGTCTTTTTCATGGTGATAAATTTAATAGCTCTGTTTGAAGATTGCATTCAAAGTTTGAGTCTTCAAAATGTGTACTACAAATATGTCCAATTATATGATTAAACAAATCGCGTCTTTTGCACCGTTTCACCCATATCTTTCTAAGCCTTTTATCCATAGGAAACACATTAAATTAAGTTTTTAAATTGACTTGTTTAGCACTATAAAAATTATTGCAAATTACAACACTACACCTCACTCCTGGCATTTTTACGTGGTAAATTAATAGTTTATATTAAACACTGCATCATCAACTTCAATCCTGGTTACTGAATGCAAGGCGTCAGAGTCGACGTTCAATCGCATTCCTTGATGGGTCCGCAGAGATCCTATAATGAAATGTGCGTTAGTGAATTCATTCGGGACTGGGTATACCACAATAGAAATACTTTTATGTTCTTATGCAGGCGAAGTCTCATATGTTATATATAATTATGACCACTGTTCAAAACTTTTTTTTCATTGGAAAGGCTCATTAACGAGAAGTTTCACCAGACTCCGAACTAGTTCCCAACATTTCTTGTCGGTTAACTTTATACTGTTGGCAAAACAATTCGGGTAACGGCGTTTGCGTAGGTACAAATTAAATCGGTCAAATTGCAGCCATCCAGCCTGAATATTCATCTGCCGGCGTTCCACGGGATTAGCGATGGTTCGTTTAAAGTCCCTTGGCATTGTTCGACCGTATAAGCTAACGCCGAAGTTAGAGCGTGAGTCTCTAGATACGTCCGGTGACTTTGAGTTATGCTGCTGTTGTTGCGGAATGCATATGAATTTTACAATTTAGGGTTATATCCTGCACGTATACGATACCGATTTATTCTCGATTTGAATGTATATAACATTAATTCGCTTGAAATATCAAGTGCTCTAATAAACTCTATAAGTGAAGTCCCTGGTCATAAAATGTTAGATTAGATTGTAATTTTATAGCTTTTCATAGTACTGGACACTTAGATTTATTTTATAAGAATGTTTAATTATACCCCGCGGTNATGACCACTGTTCAAAACTTTTTTTTCATTGGAAAGGCTCATTAACGAGAAGTTTCACCAGACTCCGAACTAGTTCCCAACATTTCTTGTCGGTTAACTTTATACTGTTGGCAAAACAATTCGGGTAACGGCGTTTGCGTAGGTACAAATTAAATCGGTCAAATTGCAGCCATCCAGCCTGAATATTCATCTGCCGGCGTTCCACGGGATTAGCGATGGTTCGTTTAAAGTCCCTTGGCATTGTTCGACCGTATAAGCTAACGCCGAAGTTAGAGCGTGAGTCTCTAGATACGTCCGGTGACTTTGAGTTATGCTGCTGTTGTTGCGGAATGCATATGAATTTTACAATTTAGGGTTATATCCTGCACGTATACGATACCGATTTATTCTCGATTTGAATGTATATAACATTAATTCGCTTGAAATATCAAGTGCTCTAATAAACTCTATAAGTGAAGTCCCTGGTCATAAAATGTTAGATTAGATTGTAATTTTATAGCTTTTCATAGTACTGGACACTTAGATTTATTTTATAAGAATGTTTAATTATACCCCGCGGTAGAAATTATAGAGAGTGACTCATCGCTAGCTTTTGGACTAGTAAGGGGGATGAAGCGTGCCGGGAACGAAAATCCATTAGCGTGTCTGCGTAAAAGGCAACAAAATATAGAAAATATTGAAAAAAGATAATAAAACATAACATCTAATATTTTTTTACGGTTTGCTATAACCGTCACTTTGATCCATTTTAATTATTACAGCATTTTAAAACGTCCCAGTTGTGTTTTTTAATTTATAAATTTATTGTTGCCATTGAATTAGACCCCTCGTCTACGCTTATGCTACGACGTTTCTCAGGACGGATAAATCAAGTCCATTTACACCCACTAAAAAAGCATTTCCCTATTCCCTAACAAGTGCAAAAGACAGAGATAGAATATAGATCGACGTTCAGTGTAATTCAGTCTATAGACGATTATAGATTCTATCGATGTGTGTAGCGAGCGGCACAAATATAAATAAAAATCATTTTATATTTTATACGCATTATGGTAATAGTGTTTTTATATTATGTCTGAGTCATTCTCTATAATTTCGACCGCGGAGTATAGTTAAGAACCTCTACAATAAAGCTAAAGTACGAGTGCTATTAATAGAACGTAATATACAGGGTGATTCAGAACTTATCATACACAAATTTTTTTCTTAATGTAGGTATCTATCTGTAGGCTCTTACAAATACAATTTTATAAAAAAAAATGAAAAAAGGCAGTTCGAAAATGATTTAAAAATATACTTCTGCACGGCACTGGAAACTGGACCACTTAAAACCTGTAAAAAGGGAAAGAAATAAATACAATTTTATAGCACCTATTTTATATAAGCAAATTCAACTACTTTTGCCGCTATGGTTATTATTAATAAAAATTAATTTGTGGTTTTAATTAATAAAATAATTTGACATATCTGATGTTACAACTGTTTAAAATTTTGTCCACTGACGTGCCGACATTTGAGCCCGTGTTACCCTTTTTCTACGAACTAACACAAATGCTGTTTTACTTCACCAATATCCGATACGATATCAGCTATCAACTCCGAGTTGCTATAAACGCAAGCCGTCTTTGACACTAACTAATAAAAAACTATTGTAAACACTATCGCAATGACGATTGTAAAATCGGATTTCAATATTCGGAATAGCTGAGGCCATGTGACTCTCCACGCGTATTGAGAATGACTCTAGGGACTACAATAGTCCAACGATGTAAATGTTGAAAATACTACAACTAATAATTTTTTTCTAGGAAACTGTAAACATTTAACAAAAATTTTTTTTACGATATTCTACTCCCAAATTTATTTGGATAAGTTGTGGATCACCCTGTATATATTCTTTAATACAAAATTATGCCAATAAAAAAACGATATTAATTTGTTTCACCTCAAAAATTTAAACGACTTTTATAAATTTAACAATTTTTTTCTCTTTCCGAAGATAACGATATATAAAATGAGATGTAAAATGCAACACACTATACAAGGACAAGGTGGTCCGTCATATTTTCTAACCCCCATTTTCTTCATTATTTTCCGAGTTAGAAAAAAGTACGAGGATAATAATGTTTCTAGATTCTTTAACACCTACATAAGTTGAGAAGACAACATTGAATATCAAGTTATATAAATATTGTTAGTGCTATATTTTTACTAAGTTATTTTATCATGTTTGTTTAATCATACTTATTGTATTGTTTCTAATCGTGTGCTGTAGCAAATATATCTATCTAAGATTTGTATTATTTGTAGGTCTATCTCTGATAATATGGAATTACATGTGAACGATGTTGAAAGAACTGTATTATTCAATGAAAATTGTCATAACTGACTGATAGGCAAGATGACCAAAATAGTCTGCAAGTTTTCCAAATGCAATCCCGTTCGATTTTTTATTCGTCCCCTAAAAATTGGTCCTGAGAGCATTTGAAGAAGTTAGAAATAGAACAAACCATAATAGTTGAGGTCTTTGCTGTATAACGTTAAATTTTAAACTTCTGCTCGTCATCTACATTCTTTTCTACAAAAGTGACAGTTACTTTAAGGTGAACAGATTTATACTGAAAGTGCTGCAGTAGCTATCAAAGAAATTGCTTCTTGCTTGACTTCATTTATGACATTGAACCTTCACATAAAGATGTCGTAACATTTTACTACATGTTTGCAACTGACAGCTAAATCTAGGTAAAGCCCTTTATACGAGTTGATATTTGCACCCAGACGCTGTCATCTACCAAAACTCCTAGTTTACATAAAAGAGAAACCTATAGACTAAAGGAACATATTTTATTTAGTCGACATGTCCAATATTAACATTTCCTCTAAAATTAAAATAGTTTGCAGGATAACCATCTAATTTTTATATACTTTGCTTACGTTATTTTTTTTAAGAAAAACGTATTTTCTAATAAAGTTAAATTGTTTGAGAGTTAAGTAAACTAGTCCTTTACCATAGGCAACCAAGAGTACACATGCCTGTATTCTTAGTTCAGTACCACATTTATTTTAAATACATATTGCGCATGTTTTGACATTTTTTTGACGCATTATTTGTTTATTCAGGTTCAGGGCTTTGGTTGGCATTTTGGCGTTGGCATTTCGTTTCGTTTAGTATTAGTGATAAAAGCAGCAAAACTAATAAAATTGACCGCCGGAATTAATTATTCCAATTATTCTCATTCAGGGATATAAAATGACGGAGGAACGGTTGCATATTGTAAGTAAAACACGTGAAAACCAATCACACTCAAAATTGCATGTTTTATCATTATTATTTATGGAGATATACATACAAATTTCATGAGTCTTTATGTACATCCATGTTATGATGAAAAGTAATCTCTTCTGAATTATTTTAAAGAAATTAAACGGTTTTGGATGTGTTAGACTTAACCTAATTTTTTTTTTTATAGGACTGGGGCAATGATAAGTTGCACCGTACACAGAAGCAAGTAGAACGAAACCCATACGACTTGGAAGCATGGTCCATTTTGTTACGAGAAGCTCAAACAAAGCACATATCTGAAGTGCGAGCACTGTATGAACACTTAATTGGTATATTTCCGAGTGCTTCGAGATACTGGAGAATTTATATTGAACACGAGGTAAATATTCTCAATATGTTCATATAAAATCTGTTATGAAAAATGTATTTTCCTTACAGATGAAGTCAAGAAACTTTGAGAAGGTTGAAAAGGTAGGATATGAAATAGGTTTAGTAGATATGTTTAATTTGAATTGGAGAAAAACATTTACCTATTTAATTGGGTTACGTCTAATAAAATTATACTATTTCGAAAACACAATTATTTTTTTTCTTCTGTATTGTTGTGTTCAGAAACCGGGAGGGATTTTTTTAAAGCTTTACTACGTATTTATATTGATTTACAGAATGAAATGTTTTAGTTATGTATTCAGCTTTGAAACGACTCTTCCTGGTTTAAATTTACCCTACACTAGCTAAAAAAGTTTGAATTCAAGAATAAAAACATTTGTTAACGACTGAAAAATATTGTGTTCCTTTTCTTTTTCCTTTCCCCTATGTAACTATTTTTAGATCGAAAATAAAAAGAGTTTTTAGTAACATGTCTTTTTTATTGGCGGTAAATATCTTTTCAGTCCTTAACCAATGTTTATAAATATTTCAAATGATGATTAAATCATCGCTGCAAAGGAATAGGGGTTTACGCAAATGATTCTTGTGTTATAAACAATTTAAAGAAGAAAAAGTGTTTAAAAACTGTTTTTTTAATTGTGATTTAAAAATTTGAATTTAATAAACTAGGTATAAAGAAAAGGTTTCAAAAATATGTAGTTTTCGTACTGAAGATCAACGAATGAAAGTAAAATACTCATCTCTATACAGGGTGTTCAAAATAGGTTGGCACTATTCTTGACTATGTTATTACTGGAGACATATTTGCCGTGTTTTATTTACCTAAAATCTTAGCTAATCGCAATTACCATGAATGGTGATTGGTTAATTAGATGAGGTTCAGTGATATCTCGGGTAAATAAAACAGCTGATATGGGTTAAATTACTAGAGTTATAATTTGGTGCAGATTTAAATGCCTTGAATCAAAATACAAAAACTGCACTGCAAATGTTTGTCATCAAAATGATATATTTTTTTAAACAGAATATTCTACAGTCCGTACTTTTTGTTAATTAACAAAAATTATCGCAACAATTAAACCAACTTCATATCTCATATTAACGATGTTATTAATGGTGCTAGTTTATTTTTAAACACCTTGTATACAGGGTGTTCCAAACTTACTGAAAATTTGAAGTATGGAGTTCAAGCGGCATGAAGTTCTAGATATTTCGAAAATTGTGTTGATGTCGTCATGGAATATTTTTTTCCAAGGAAACCTGTATTTTTCCATATTTAAAAAGAACATATTTTTCCGATAAACTTTTATTTAAAAAATCTTTATCTGTTTTCATTAAAAAGTTATGATCAGAAGTAAAAATAATAATTACAAACGATTTATAATAATTATTTTAGCATTTACTGCTTCGTTAATAGTAGGAGGCCATTGAAAGCTTTCATACAAGGCTTGCTATGACACTTAATGATGCAAGTTGCCAGAAGTCCTTGAAATAGTATCAAGTACATATTTAAATACTAAACTTGTCTTTAATTAATCACAAAGAAAACAAAAACAATAAAAGTAGAACAAAAAACAAGAAGTATTTTACATATATAACCAAAAATATTATAATATTTTCTGTATGTCCACCCCCTGTAGCTGAACATAAATCTAACCGACGCCACATATTACTAACCTAACTTCTCTTTAAGGTATTTCGAATTTTTTCTTTGAAATATTCTATATTACGTGACTTACTTTTATAGACTTTATTCTTAAGGAAACCCCATAAAAATAAGTCAAAGGAATCATGTCGGGAGTTTTTCTGGGCCATTTTATGGGTCCATTTATTCCAATCCATCGTTCCCCGAAAAACAGTATTTAAATAATCCTGCACAATAAACGCTTTGCAACTGCAAAGGCATGTTTTTGTGAATTGCTAGGAGTTCGTATTGCAAGAAACGCAAGTATTCTATATACTATTCAACACGCCTTCATCAAAGTCCTATTACAACAAAGTGGATTCTCAATGGACCAATAATGTTCATATTTTTTATTTGATAAACCATTACTTACAAAACGGCTTTCATCCGTCCAAAGAATATGATGAAATATCCGTCGATCAGAAATTTCAGCAGCTTCTGTGATTTGTGCAAGGAAACTCAATCTTCTTTCTAGTTGAATTTCAGACGCTTTCGAATTTAACTCGTAACTAGCTTGCCTTATTGAGTTTTCCGGGTGGTTCTCAAAATATTGTACCACTTGTGCAGTAGTATAGTCATCTTGAACCCTTTTTCTTATTGATTTTCCCTTTCGAATCGAAAATGCGTTTTCATTTTGTCGTGGTTTCTTTCCATCCTGACAAACATTTTGTAGTCAAAGTTCAAGAAATGTTCCACTATACAACTCTTCTAGAATTTTTCTGGGATCCTCCATAAATTAATAACATATAAACTTTTTCTGTTTGTGATAACATTGTTACAAGTAATTGAAAAACACTGAAAACTACCCTGTGTAAACACTTGGAAGCGCCAAGCAATACTCGTTTGACACTTGGATAACAAGTGAACATAATAATAATGTAACTCGATCAATTGTTTTCCAGAGAATGTCCGATCAAGTTATGACTAATGTAACTTTGATGTTCTAATTATTATTTTTACTTCTGATCATAACTTTTTAATGAAAATAGATATAGAAAAATTTTGTATATAAAAGTTTATCGGACAAATAAGTTCTTTTTAAATATGGAAAATACAGGTATGTATGTTCCATGGAAAAAAAATGTTTCATGATTTAAATTTTCAAAATATCTAAAACTTCAATCCGCTTGAACTGCGTTCTTCAAATTTTCAGTAACATTTTTCGTTACACTGTAATATTTGGCCATTGAATTTGGGACACCCTGTAGATAATGATGTATAGTTATGAAAAACAAACACTACAATTTTTTATCTAGGGTTTATGGTAAGTACCTAAAAATAATATATCAGTAACAGCAATAGGTACTAAAATGTTAAAAGACATATACGATTCAACTTCCTCCTGAGCCATCTTGATTATTATAAGAAGACAACTGACATACTGTATCGTACATTATTTATAATAGATATATTTATAAAATAACTCGTAATAAGTAATAAAATCTGTGATTTTTAAACATGCTTTTCTTTATTTAAAATGTTTATGGAAATTTGGGGATATGAGAGAATTGTTGCCTGTGTATGTAATATGCATTTTTTAACAGCTTTTTCAAAGATGTTTAATGAAGATTTTAAACATTGAGTTATGGAAATTATATCTGACGTATGTTAAAGAAACTAAGGCCTCTCTGCCCACGTACAAGTAAGTAAAATCAAACTGTTCGTTTAATAAACCTGTAATATGCACATAAGTGTCTCTTACGATACCTCTGGTTGGCCGCTTTTTATTAGAATTCACACATTTTAGGGAAAAAATGGCCCAGGCGTACGATTTTGCGTTAGACCGTATAGGAATGGACATTCACTCGTATTCAATTTGGAACGATTACGTCAATTTCTTAAAAGGCGTAGAAGCTATAGGTTCCTACGCCGAGAACCAAAAAATCTCAGCGGTGAGGAAAGTCTATCAGCGGGGTATAATCAATCCCATGACGGGAATGGAAACGTTTTGGAAGGATTACATTGCGTTCGAACAGGTTGGGAAAGATTCGGAAGCTAAGTAAGCAAATTTATTTATTCTGTTTGAAATTTCAGGCAATTAATCCCATAATTGCCGAAAAGATGAGCATAGAAAGGAGTAGGGATTATATGAACGCTCGGAGGGTGGCGAAAGAACTTGAGGTGCAGATAAGGGGTATAAATAGGAACGCCCCTAGTATACCTCCCAGCGGAACCCCAGAGGAACGAAAACAGGTGACTTTTTTTTATTTTTTTCTGTTTTCATAATTTTTAGCAACACGTAATTTTAATTTTAGGTTGAACTGTGGCAGAAGTATATAGCTTGGGAAAAAAGCAACCCCCTAAGGACTGAGGATACCGCGTTGTTGACGAAGAGAGTAGTTTTCGCTCTGGAACAGTGCTTGCTTTGTCTCGGACACCATCCAGACATTTGGTATCAGGCGGCACAATTTTTGGAGTACAGTTGTAAAATCTTGGCCGAAAAAGGGGTAAATAATAGTCGCAGTATGTATGTATGTATGTGTGTATGTATGTGGGAGAGGTGGTGGAAGTGTCTTCCACCACGGCACTTAGGCCTTATTAGGCCCCTTGTACACCCTTCTTCATTACTTGAGTACTTTTCTTCAAACCATCTTATTTACTACACGGATGGCTTGGTGGCAAAGTCTCGTACAGTTTATGTATGATAGCATGGTTACAGAGATTTCTTGCTCTGCTCTCATTACCATTTATCGTGGACCACACTCGTGCGGTAAATGTTGGGTGACCCAGGTCTCTTGGTAGGCTGCCACAGCCACGTCCCCGAGTCTGCCTTAGGTCACCCATTCAAATTCCAGCCCACGTCCGTGATGCTTGACTCGGCAGATCGAAATCCGCCGGCCAATACACCCGGCTAGGCGGTCCCCAATAGTCGCAGTATAAATAATAATAATTTTTGAGATACAGGGTGATACATTTTTATTCCTTCATTTTTAACATCTTTGTTTTTGTTGTTTTAAAAAAAATCCAATTAAATTCTATAAATCCGACTCTTTTATGAGAACCCACAAAAATCTGTTCGAAATAATCTAGAAAATGATGTTTTATTCTTTATCTTTTTGATTTCGAGAATTTTTTTTGTCGCTTTCAGTTAAACTATACCTAATATGTATTTTCCTTTGTTCATCACAAACAGTCGTTCGGACAGCTTTATACTCACAACACCACTTGTATACATTGATACGATTCATCAGACGATTCCCATAAACAGTAGACCGGGCCAAAGAAATCGACAATTTTTTTTAGATTAGTTTTAAGAGGTCTATCATAGCTAGTTTCGATTTTTTATTCCTGATCCCATTTTTGCGTCAAAACTACCAAACCATCGAGGTAAAAAATTTTATCTACATATATTTTTGAAGGAAATTGAATGCCCTACAAAAAGGATGTGATTGAAAATTTTCGGCAGACGAGCCGTTTTCATGTAATCAAGCCTTGAAAATTGATATGTTTTTTCAATTTGACTTTTTAATTTTGGAATTTTGTAAATAACAAACAAATTATTATCTGAAAAAGAACAGTACAGATTTTTGCAAGAAATTTAATGTTGTACAAAAGAGGTCTCTTAACATTTTTGCATAAATTTACTCATTCAAAAGTTATTCACAATTGAAGTTGAAGTAAAAATTAAATTTTTGTTTTTTTCGTTTTGGACCCAATCCTTTTCACTCAATGGAACAAATTGGTATTATACATCATCGACAATTTTTATTCTATCAATATAATCACCAAAAATATCCACCTTTTTTGTAGGGCATTCAATTTCCTTCAAAAATAAATGTAGATAAATTTTTTTACCTCGATGGTCTTGCAGTTTTGACACAAAAATGGGATCAGGAATAAAAAATCGAAACTAGCGATGATAGACCTCTTAAAACTAATATTAAGGGCTCAAACTCTCACGATATTTTCTTTTCGTCATTCAGAATGATATTCTCGATATATCTTTCAATAAAAATATAGTATTTTTTTTTGGCCCACATAATAAACAGTTTTGATTTTGTTAAAAATGTGAAACGGCGCCTTTCCCTTTGTAAGAAGAAACTGATATTACACTCCCCACCTCACAACTGGCAGGATTCGGAATAGCGGTACTGTTTTTAATACGCCACTACAACAGCAGTTCTCAACTGACCGAAACAAACGAGCGCGCGTTCTGCTCCCAACACCTTGACCTTCAGTGCCAACTTTGTCAAAAACAAAAGCCACGAAGAATCAGAGTCTCAATACTCTACTTCGTGCCTCGTTTTTCGACAAGATAGTTTTAATTCTAATACCTAACCATCCAGCGAAAAGGTTCAGTGTAGATTTCTTTCAGTAGATATTGCAATTAATAAAGCTGATTTAAAGTATACCTGAATCATTTGTATCTTTCAGGACGTTAATGCTTCGAAATTATTCAGCGAAGAAGCAGCGAATATGTTTGAACGGGCCACGAGTACGCTGTTGAGCAAAAACATGCTCTTGTACTTTGCATACGCCGACTATGAAGAAGGAAGACTGAAATATGAAAAAGTGCATCAGATCTACAATAAATATCTGGAAATTAAAGACATCGACCCGACATTGGTAATGAAATGTTATATCCGTGAACTTTCTAATTTGTTCTATCTCGTTGTGTTGATTTTATAAAATCTATTTGTGTTTTAGGCGTACATTCAATACATGAAATTCGCCAGAAGGGCCGAGGGTATAAAATCGGCGAGGGCCGTCTTTAAGAAAGCCAGAGAGGACAACCGGTCTAAATATCACTTATTCGTGTGCGCCGCTCTCATGGAATATTACTGTAGTAAAGATAAGAACATCGCTTTCAGGATTTTCGAACTGGGACTGAAGAAGTTCGGAGCCATACCCGAGTATATCACGTGTTATATCGACTATTTGTCGCATCTAAACGAGGATAACAACACTAGGGTCCTCTTCGAAAGGGTGTTGTCTTCCGGGAGCTTGGAACCTGAAAAATCAGTGTAAGTTTGTAAGGCTTGGTTACGAAATGAATTATTTCTATGTATTTGTGTATTTTTAGGGATATTTGGAACAGATTTTTGGAATTCGAGTGCAATATCGGCGATCTCCAATCTATAGTGAAAGTGGAGAAGCGTAGGTCGGAAGTTCTGTCGAAAATTAAGGAATTTGAAGGGAAAGAAACAGCGCAACTTGTGGACAGATACAGATTTTTGGATTTGTTCCCGTGTACTCCGCAAGAGTTGAAAAGTATAGGGTTAGTACTTTGTGAAAACGAATAAATATAATTTGGTGTTGAATAGGTCCTCGGGTTTTTTCGTGAAAATTAATGGTTTATTCGAAAGAATTACCAGAAAAACATGTCACTGAAGGTATTGTCCATCGGTGGCCACTACTTTCTCCCATCTTTCTGGCAGCGTTTTAATTCCACGTCCGAAAAACGACACGTCTTTTGAGGCTATCCGTGAGTTGATCCATTTTTTGACACATTTTCATAAAAATGGAAGTGCTGTTCGTCCAGGCCATGTGCTTTCGATCGGAACAAGTGATAATCGGAAGGGGCAATATCTGGTGAAAATGGCGAGTGGGGTAGGACTTCCCTTTTAAGCGTTTCCATGGAGGTTTTCACCGTTCTTGCAACATGTGGCCAAACGATGTCTTGCTGCATAATCACTTTGTTGCAAGTGACAAGAAACAGATGAAAATCTGCAACATGGGATACACACACTTTGGTTCCAGGAAAAGGGCCACGGCAGATTGGCGCCAGGGACTAGATACTGATACCTGCAAGTGACTCTTCAATGAACGCTCGCCTCGACAGCATTTCTTCTCACTATACTTTTGTCTTCAATAGAAAATACCTTTTATTTTCCGTTGAGAGGGAGTTTCATTTTGCTACACACCCAAATCAACCTCCAGACGTCTCTCGGTTTCAACTCGTACGGAACCCAATGTCCTTGTTTTTTAATAATTCGTAATGCCTTCAAATGTTTCGAAACTGTTGTGCGATCAACTTCTAATGGTTCTGCACATTCAAAATCATTATTTTTGAGGCGTCTAAACCAAACTCTGCATGTCGTTTGCGACATAACACGTTCGTTGTAACTGTCAATAAGAATTCTGTGTGTTTCACCGGCATATTTCTTTTGAATTAAGTAGTCAAGTAAAATTCCTCACAAATACCCTTTTTTCAGCAGGAAATTTGAGATGTTTAAGCTGTGAAAAAAAAGTAGTTTACACTTCAACGAATTTCAAGCTAGCTTACGGTACTTCTTTATAGGTGCGTTACCCTCTTAAACTGTATGCAGTTCTGGTAACGCCATCTGTTGGAAAACAGCGAGAACTTGTCCAACGTCTCTATCTAATCGTGAAACGTTAAACGATAAATTTTTTTAGGTATACGGAAGTTATAAATATAACGGGAGCCGGGAGGAACCACATTTTGCAATCTATAATAGAGAGTGATAACGAGTTACCTTTGCCGCTTCCCGATTATTCTCAGATGATACCTTATAAACCAAAGTCAAATGCATTGCCGGGAGAACATCCCGTCTCAGGTAAGTTTGAATCAAACGCAGAGTATTGCCAATTTTTATATTTCTCTTATTTACCGTGACAACACAAAAGAAAAATTTTATGACGTAAACTACATCTCGGTACCTTGATTCTTCTAAGAGATAATTACATACAAGGTTTTTTTTAATTTTTTGTAATTTTTGTCTTTAAGTATGAATAGTCTTTCCGAAGTCTGTTGAACATGTATAAAAACGCCTAGCAATAAAATTTAATGAGTTTCATAGGCGTCTTAAACAAGTAAAAAATAATAATTTGTATATAATGTGTAGAAAATTTATATTATATGTTCATTTGGTCAACAATATATTTTAATTATTTATGTCCTCAAACAATAGGGTTGTTGACTATAAAAACAAACCGTATACAAATTGTTGTTGATACAAAGATTTTATATAAAAGAACCTGCCGGTATAGTAAAATTTTAAATATATGACAAATTAGTGGTAGAAATCATTTATGAATTTTTGTGTGACTTAAAAACTAGTCTGACGTCATAAGGGGCAATTGAACAAGAAGGTAGTAGCGATCCTATTGCATAATTTTGAAGAAGAAGAAAATATATCCAAATTGTTCATCAAACCTTGTCCACTGTTTCCTGTTTTTTAAACAAAAGTGACAGGAGTGACACTAGTGACAGCAGTCTATCAATTAAGAGTATTTGTGATAGTTATTATTAATTTCTTGATTGTAATGGATTCAATAAAATTTAAGTGGTGTTTTGTTCCACATTCCACATAGCCAATTGCATTATCTCCATAAGACTCCCGAACTGCACTATAATTTTCCGTAAATAAATAGGTATTTATATTTATTATTTATATTATAAATAAACACAATAAAATCATTCATTAAATATGTTAATCCTTACCTGACTGCTTTTATATCTCTGATTTCGCCAATATTAAAACGGTCGTCTCTTTTTAAAAATTCAATTCATGATCATAAAAATATCAATTTTCGGTAAAATTTGCGAAGTAGCTTTCACAAATCCCGTTTCACACATTCTGCTTTAATTCTAAGGGAAGGAAGATATTAAATGATTATTACTAAATAATAATTTTACTTAATAAAGGAATTCGAAAATTAAGAAAAAAACTCGTAGACTTGAAAATATTTTATGCGACAATATCACTGACAGACTGACACTACTGACAGTGTTGACAAAGCATCTTCTTCCTCCATTTTTTTTCCTTTACGCAATCATCTACACATAATTTCACTACAAGGTGCCCCTTATGACGTCACAGCCGTTTTGAAATATTATAAAAAAATCAGTTTTAAAAAATTATTTTAAAACTGTTCCGACGCATTTCTCAATCTCTAATTGTGCATACACACTAATTAGTACGTGTAGAATTATATTATCTACTTTTTGAAATTTGGTCAACAACCCTATTCTATTATATTGATGGAAAATTTCGTTTTGTTCCGCTTCAAAAGGTCTCCAAAATGCCGTGTTGTAATAATATTAGTAAACAAAATATCCCTCCTATTTCTCGCAGTTTTCCTTTCTTCAGTTCTCCTTTCTCCAGTTATAATATGAATGTGCCTATAATAAATTAAAATTGCCTGATTCACACCAAATTCCGCGTTGCTGCACTGCACTGCTAGGCAATTTGTCAACAACTGAAATTTATGGCGGGTCGCCCAGTGCGGCCATGTTTGTGCGCCGTTTCAATGCCGAGATGCTGCTTATCAATCGAACCTAGTACATGCTGCCTAGTTCTTTGTTCTTCAATTGAGATGGGAAAGTCTATACATGTAATGCTTTGTGTATAGAAGATCTTGCACGCTTCATTTTTAGTGAATTACTTTTAAATGAGAACTTTATTTTATTTCTATCCTTCCAAATTGTTGTAATCGTAGAGTGTGACATGCCACATTCTTTTGCTATGATTGCTTTAGTTTCTCCGTTTTCTAGTCTCAATATTATATGTGATTTTCCTTCTTTACTAAAAACACTTTTCCCTTCGACATCGTGATAATTACGTATAATATAAGTATATGCATAGATTAGTCGTAATTTGTCCCAAACGTATGAACTGGTGACTTAACTCTAGAGAAAACGGAACTTTTATTTACCATCTTCTAGTACTAATGTACCGAAACATTCACCACATTATGAAATCTGCAACAACTGTAATAAAAATTCTGTAGATATTTTTAACTGCAGCATTAATGACTTAAAAATACTTTATTTTGAATGTCTGGTAGTTTCAAATATGTAATTTTAATTTTCATTTATGTGTATTATTTAGTGTATAGATTTTATTTATTTCCCTCTTTTTTATGATGGTCTGTATTTTTTTGTTCCTTTTAATTTCGTTTGTAATTAATGTACTTCTTTTATTATTGTCTGTAAAATCCCTTGTTTTATAATTGGGTAGCACCTGTTGAACGGTGTATCAAATAAAATAAAAATAAACACAGTTAAGAGTAAAAATCTAGAAAAATAAATGAGGTAATGAAAACTAAGCAGAACCGGTGATACTTGAAATTGAACTAGCAATTTTTCTGTTTACAAGAAAAAAAAGGACAGAAAAGTGGATGACACGTTATTTACGGCCACACTATTCACCTCTTTCTATGTAGTACGTAAGTCGGGTATGATTCCAGAGATTCTCAATAACAATAAGTTTTAACAATATCGATGGTCATTAATTTTAAGCACCGTTTTGTAGTTTTAACGCTTTTGGTTATTGAAAATGCTCATTATTAACATGGTCTCCCATTTCATCAAACTTCATCACCGTATGGTATCTAAAAAAATGATGTGTTTATTTCTGATCAGAGTTGTCTACAATTTTGTCACTGGAATATTGTAACACCCTGTCTATGAGGAAATTAAGCTAACAAGTTATGAGCGAAAATATTAATTCGTTTTCTTTTGCAGGCGGGACTTTCCCGCAACCACCGGCTGCCGCTCACCTCTGTACGCTTCTTCCGCCTCCTCATTGCTTCCGGGGACCGTTTGTACACATTGACATACTCATGGATATTTTCATCAGGATACACCTACCCGAAAATTGTAAGTACTCGTAACACTACTCATTCTATTTTACGTTTAGTTAAATTTCTTTTTATTTTATTTTTTAGTCCCTCCTCCGTCAGAAAACGGTGGTGACGTCCGCCTTTTCGACCTCGCCAAGTCCGTCCACTGGATAGTGGAGGAGGGCGGGGGTATAGGACTGAAAAGGAGAAAGAGGATCGGTTTGGGACTGGACGGATCGGACGACGAAGACATGCCTCTCCCGCCTTCCAATGACATTTATCGACAGAGACAACAAAAGAGAGTTAAATAGTATTTTTATTGTATTATTCCCCTTATTCGTATTTTGTAGCATCGTATTTCCATAAATATCATATTTGTACTTTAGCTAGAATATATTCTATTACAATTTTTTAAGTTTGTTTTCCTTTTTCGTCAACTCGGAAGATTATCGAGGTTTTGGATTCAACTAAACTAGGGTTATAATTCAAGAAATATAACTACAACTAATAAATTCATTAGTTTAAATAAATAGCCATGAAGATCGTTAGATTTTAATCTCAGTCACTTTTTAAAATTATCCGCCATGATGACCAGATTTTAATACCATTGACTTTTTGAGATGATCTTAGATTCAAAGTACAAGACGAAAGTTGCTTTGGGGGTGTATTTTAAATTTCATTAGTTTAAATAAATGGCCACCAACATCGTTAGATTTTAATCTTAGTCACTTTTTAAAATTATCCGCCATGATGACCAGATTTTAATACCATCGGCTTTTGAGATGGCCTTAAATTCAAAGTATACAACATGAGGGTTGCTTTGGGTATGCAGCAAAGTGAAACTCTCTCAATGGTAAATAAAAGGTACTTTTTATTGAAAACAAAAGCGCAGTGAAAAGAAAGCCGGGGCGAGCGTTCGTTGGAGAGTGCCTGGTGGAGTCGCTTGCTGGTATCAGTACCTATCTAGTCCCTGGTACCAATCTGCTGTGGTCCTTTTCCTGGAATTCTGTCGCTTGCAACTGTTAGACCAGTCCGGCGGACGTCAGGTTGATGCTGTTAATGTGTTAGTACATTTTTTCGAAATTTTCTCATAATCCTGAAGAAGTGCTAGAAAAACAAACGAATGTTGCATTTTACAAGTATTTACCAAACTTTTTTAATTGAGCACCCCATACATTTTTATATACAGGGTGTTTGTAAATAAGTGCGAAATATTTTAGAGGATAGTTGCTGAAGTTATTTTGTGAAAAAAAGTTCATATAAACGTTAAATATGCTTCGTTTCCGAGATACAGTGTTTGAATTTTAATTTTTTATTTATTTTTATCAATTGTTTCAAAGTTTTAAAGATATTGACTCGAAATTTGAAAAACGCTTTGGAGGGATAAATGTGCATTTGTTGGGTCAATCCGAACATTTCTACTTGCACCAGTGGCATTCGTGCGAGAATGGCACAACCTCTTAATAACAAAAATGATACGCCGCTGTCTTTTTCCCGTTTTGATATTTTTATGTAAATTCGCCATCAAGTTTGAATGAAATTGGTCCCTTCAATTTTTTTCATAGGATGCACCGTTTTTGAGGAAAAAAATAAAACATATTTTGTTGCAAGTTGTGTTTTTTTAATTTCTACCGATACATTATCTAGTAGGTTGCTGTCAATATTTCTAAATAAAATACAACCGTCAAATTTCGAGTCAATATTTTTAAAATTATGATAAGCCCATGTCAATGTATATCATTTGTATATACTGGGTGTTTCAGAGATGTAGTGACAAAAGTCTAGGGGAGATTCCGCTCAACAAAATATGTAAAAAAGTTAATATGATAATATACATGGGTTTGCAAGTGCTTCATTTCCGAGATTCAGGGTGTCAATTTTTTTAAATTCAGACTTGTTTTTAAAAACGCTTTAGCCAATTTGAATGAAATTTTTATGGTTTAATAAAACAATTATCATACATCAACTGGACCAATTAGGTTTGATCCAGAATTTTCAGGAGTGTAGGTACCCAGTGAGCAAGTCATCTTTTTTTTAAAAAAGAATATCACCTTGTAGTTTTTTGCGGTTTTTATGTAATATTCAGATACTTAAACTCACTAAAAGTAGTACATTTATGTCTCGACTCTTTTTTAGTGTCTCGCTTCATTTTCGAGAACCAAAAAAAATCTGGATCAAATCTAACTGGTCCAGTTGATGTATGATAACTGTTTTAATAAACCGTAAAAATTTCATTCAAATCGGCTAAAGCGTTTTTTTTAAATACTCAATTTCTTAAAAAAAATTAACACGCCGTTTCTTGGAAAACGAAGGACTTGCAGATCCATGTTCATATGAACTTTTTTACATATTTTGCCGAGTGGAATGTCCCTTAGGCTTTTGTCACAACCCTGAAACATCCGGTATAGGTAAACAAAAATTTCATACTCGAGAAATTTGTTTCTTGATTATCCAAAGTAATGTTCAATAGGGTCTTTAGTGAATTATTAACATTAAATAAGGTACAATTCGTTTTATTCTCATTCAAAACTAATTTGTTCTCAGAAAACCATCGTTTCTTTGAATTTGTCAATACATTACCGATTTTAAGTATATCCATATAATTTCATCCCTTTATTAACAAATTCATATCGTTTGCATAATTGACTGTAAATTATACTTTTATTCAAAATGATAGTCATTTACAAAAATTATAAACAAAAGAGGTCCCAGTATACTTCCCTGTGACACTTTCCCCGACAATTCCAAGATATTTCTTCTTAATTATTATACTCTGTTTCAACAATTTGTTTGTGGCAGGTTAGACTTTGTTTTACTTGGTTGTTGTGAACTTTTGAAGAAAATTTTGCCAAGATTTTCCATTAGTATAATTTTTAATGAACCCAAGTAGTTTTGTTTGAAACCAAAAGCCCAAAGTATGATCGAAAACACGAAGTCCCCAGATCGAAATGACGGCAACCTTATTTGTATCATTTTTTTCTAGATATAAACGTAAAAGTTAAAAAAATTTCAATGCTACGTAAATATTTCTGTAATTCGATTTGTCTATTTTCGTATTACGGGAATGCATTGTTGAAAAATGTACATTAAAACTGTAACAAAATATATTTTTTTGCAAAAAGAGGAACACTATTTTGTACACCTTTTGCATTAAATTAATAATGGCAAAAATTAAAAAAATCTTTCTTAAATAAATAATTGTTACTTTTATTTTGAAACGTTTCAAGAATTATTACAAATTTTTACATCATAGCGTGCTTTATCAAACACTACAATAAATAATAAAGTTTCTCTTATGCCTTTTATTATATATTATATAAAGGTGGCATTCCATTTAAAATAAATACAGGGCCTTCACAAATGTTTATAAGCCATGTGACTGGTGAACTTAGGCAACCAACATCACAGGGTTGGTATTGGTAACAACAATTCCCTATATATTGGCATCACCAATATTAACGGTTCGTTTACAATGAATACTGATAGTTTACCTTCGAGACAATGCAATCGCTGATTGGTTTAAAAAAATCTCGTGAAAATTACATCAATCACAATGGGCGAAACAGAATGTTGTATTTTAATGTAATCTTGATATTATCGTCTTAATTTTACTGAAATTTAATTGCCAACTTGAAGGAAATAAAATCACTGGTCACAAGGCTCTGTACATTTAATATTTTTTTATCTGCCAGTAGAACAAAAAAAAATTATCAATATAAAATTTTAACATTCACAATCCTGTTTCTCTTGCCGCTTTTCTTTCAAAATACCTTTTCACGGCCTCATCAAACTTTTCGCCGACTGTCCGCTTTTTCCAAATATCAACTTTTGGCTTTTTCGGTTTTACCTCCACCGCCTTCTCTTCTGTTTCTTCTTTCTCACCATCGACATCCTTAGCTTCAACCTTAACATCATCTGTGGCGGGGGGATCTTCTCCATTTTCTTTTTGTTCGGTTGTATCTTTTACAGTACTATCGTCTTCCTTCGATTTATCTTCTTTCTTTTCATCTTCACTATCTGAGGAGTCTATGCTGAAGTCTGAGTCAGCATCCAAATTTGACGGTAAATGTTCTTTCTTCACTTCCACTTCCTCATCACTTTTATCGTCGGCCGAGTCCCTTCGTGTTCTATATTTGCGTTTCTTGGCCGTTTTCTTGGGTTTTATTTTACTCTCAGAATCGGATTGGCTTCCAGATGATCTCCTTCTTTTAGGACTTCCTTCTTCCTTATCACTGTCACTACCACTTTTAGGTTCATCCTTAACCTCTTTTTTCACTACAGTTTCATTTGTTCTGTCTTCATAATTTACTTTCTGATCGTATAAGTGCCTATAAAAACCATCTAGATTTCCTTGCTTTCGAACATCTCCTATACTTTCAAGGTATTCTTCCCGTTTTTCTAGTTCCTCCTGCTCGCGCATCTCTTCCAGCTTCTTTTTGTATGCCGACGTAACGAATGATTCTTTGTCTTTGAATTGTTCACCTAAAAATAAAATTATTAACGATAAAACACACCTTTTAATAAAAATCTAACCTTCTTCCTCCCGTTCCTTTTGCACTTGCCTCTCTATTCGCCGTTCATTCTCTCGTTTTCTTTTATCGGCTGCTGCTAGGAGTCGACTAATATACTTAGGTTTCTTATCTAGATCTTTTCGAGACAATTTCGATTCTTTCCTTTTTTGGTCCATTTCATCGTAAATTTCATCGTACTGGTAAACCGTGGGGTCTTCTTCGACTGCCTTGTTCTGATTCAACTTGTCTTGTTTCTTAACAGTCTTTGTAACACCAGTAGGCTTTAGCCCTGGTGTGTCAGAATCCGAATCGTCGTTGAAGATCGAAGGTTTATTTGATGTGACTGGGGCTATTTGGTGGCCCTTGTTTTTGTTCGGCAGAATCAGACCATACCTGAGGTTAAATATGTATGTTAAAGATTTTGTAGTTATTTTTACGTATTTACTTACTGTTTGGACATTCTTGAAGTAATTTCTTTAATTAATTTCGTATAGTGTACGTTTTATAAATCACAATACCAAAAAGTTTAGGGTTAAGGTTAGGTTTTAATCATAGACCATAGACCAGGGAGACTAGTGGGTGCAGAGACAATAGATAACTATAGATAGCTAACTCGAGTGGAGGGGGAAGGACTGTAAAAAGCATCAGCGCCAATGTGCCAAGTGTATCAAATAGAAGTCATTTAGCGGGACTTTTAAAATATATTGATAATATTAAATAATAAACTTAATTTTGCCTAAAATGATTATATCTCATACTGAGACTGTAAATAATATACCATAAAGAGACAGTATGTCACATTACTTTAAATTTTGAAACGTCATCAAAGTAATGTACAATAGTGTTTTTTTTTAAGTATATTATCTACAATCTTAGTATAAAATATAATCATTTTAAGCAAAAGTAAGTTTATTAAAACAACCCCTTCATCAATAATCCTTCTACTTCATGGGATTATTTCTTAATTGTTAATGGCAAAAAATACTCAAACTCTAAAATACTAAATACTGCCACAGAAAAGTAATTTCAGACAATATAAGTGATATAGATATTATTTAAAATATTGTTTCTTTCTAAAGGATACAATTGCTTATTTTGTTTTTAATTTTACTTACCTAATATGTACTTCAAATGATTTCTTTGCACTGTTGTAAACAGTTTTGTTTATTTTATTAAATAAAATGGCATTTGTTTTTTTAATTATTTATAGAAAATTACAATACGCTGACATATTGCAAGTTATATTATACTATAAAATATATAAATTAAAATACTTTACAAGCTAGACCACACAAACACATAAGGTATAAAGAACACGGCCTATATTATAAATATAGGCCGTGTTCTTTTATTCAAAATAAGCTTAATATGCAAATTGAAATTCAAGAAATGTTAAATTTGTTTAAACTACACTTTTACTAATAGAAACATGTCTAATACAAATATTTACACATACTATTTAAAATAAAGTAAGCACCTTTATATCTTAATGAAGTTTCAGTAATTGAGTCTACCGCACTAACTATACCTGTTCGGTTGGGGTTATACAATCCCTTGAAGTACCTGGTATTGAAATAAATGGATTATCCTCTTCTTCACCTTTAAAGAGAATTGAATTTATTACAATTTATACAGTTCTATAAAAGTATTACTAAATAATCAAATAAAATTCTGTAAAGGACACTGCAAATAAATTCATGCGTTGATTAAAAATAGTACATACTTCAGTCAACGATTTATATTTATTTTACAGTAGTCACTAATTTATATTGCAAATAACCTCCAATAAAAGAATATACTAATCTATAAATGTAAATTGGAAACATTTTAAAAATTTTAATTCTGGTTAAGTAAATGCGAAATTACCTGGCTGCCTTAATGTGATTTGAACTTCAGAATATATATTGGGTGTATTGCATTCAGTAGAAGTGCTTGGAATAGGATCTGGTACTTCCAAATGAGTTTCTGTTTCACAACTTCCATATTTATAAAGCGAATTTTCCTGTGTCGGACTTTCATGAAAATCTAAAGTACACATACAAAAATATTGACACAATATTTTATTTAGTTTTTATATATTTACCTGGCAAAAATAATATGGGCAAACTTCCATATTTTAACTTTTTCTCCCCAGGAGTTCGACAAAATTCACTGCTTATCGCATACTCTGTATCTCCTATAAGCAATTTGAGGATCAAGACTTCAGTGTATGATTACCAATCCTCTTTACCCAAATATCGTATACCTGAAAGAAAGTGTAATAAAAATATTGTATATAGGTTACAAATTTACGGTACAATTGTTTCCTTTATATATAAGCGTTTTAATTCTTACTTACATTTTCATCACAATTCGGTCCACAACACACAAAAACCATTGTCCTATTATAGTTTATAATCAATTAACAATAAATAAAATACAACAATACCACAAAACCATCCACAAAACAAAATAAATTCAAATAGTAAATGATAAACTTGGTTCCTGTTTTATCAACAACACCCAAGATTCCTAGATGCCAGCGCCAAAATGGCAAGTGTATGAACTATTGCGTAATCCTCCCCCACCACAGAGAGTGCACAGCCCCTGAGTGGGTGTTAGTGGAGTGGTATGTTTACTACACTACATTACTTACTTTACACTCATAATAATGTCCCAGATTATTCTGTGATAATGTTATGTAAAATTACACACAAAAGGGAAACTATATATATTAAGCACATAGTTTTTTACTTTTTGTACATTTATAAATTTTGTAAAATATTAATTTGAAAGAAAACATGTAATATTGTAATCTGATTGGATCGAACCAAGACAGTTTGAAGATACCGGTTAATAGATGTCGCATAAATGTGTTAAGTTCCGATAGTACATATAGATGTCGCGAACGCATCAACAAGTAGTGATAAAAGTTTACTAACTTTGTAGTAATTAGAGTTTAAGAGAACGATACTAGAGGACACTATATACATAACTTTCAAATTATTTTCAATTTTTCATTTAATATCAATTTTCAGACGGTACGGTACACTCATTTTTTTACTAATTAGCAAATGAAGAATAAAATATTCCCGGGTGAATATGATCCAGAACCCACTCAGAAGAGAAAATGTAAATATTTATTTCTAATAAATCAGTTGTTTTCTAGTAAGTTGTTCTAAATTTTTTTTATACATAATCCTGTTTTTCCGATTTCATGCTATTTCTAGCTACCGTTTATTGATTTTTCCAATATCAGGGTGTACCTACTCCAGAAAATGTACATCCTGCCGGTACATTAATCAAATTCAGTGACTAAATGAAATACTTGTTTAATGTCCTAGAAAAGAATTTATTAATGGCAGGGTAAAACTGCGTAGGGCACAAAGTAGGGAACTGGAATATCTGCATCTGAGGTCCGTGATTCACTTTTATAATACCAACCTCTATTCTACTCTAAAAGAAAATACCAGCTTCCAGTGGCGGCTCATAACTTCCCTACCAGGGAAGGCGGAAAAATTTAAGTACAAAATATTGAAAAAAAAATCAAATACTGGGTAATTTTATTTTAAGTGCTATTTAAATATAGGGAATATGTGCTCCACATTATTTTTTATAGTGTGAGTACAATGTTTATTTGCTTTTGCGATTCCAAAGGCATTGTCCACAAAGGGTTCGTGGAAACTTGTGATCGATTTTTTTACTATTGTTCTTATTTAAAAAGTCTCTTATTTTTAAAAAGTCCTGTTTACTTTGGAGTGCACCTTGTATATTATTTTGGTTTTGTCGTTTATGTGACAAATTAATTAAACAAATGACAGTCACAAAAGTTCCACATCCTCTTGTACGAATTCGAAGCTACGCGTCCTTCACTGTTCGGCGTCTTGTGTCGGCGAAAGATCAAAGGGGGTCTGGTGCCTCGGCATTATCGTGGTGGCTTGCGGTATGAAACAAACGACAATCTATCCGTACGGTAGCGCGGAGCCAAGTTTGCGGTCGTCGCGAGATTATTATACCAGTTGCACCCGGGCAAGATACCATAAACAAAACCCACGATTATGTCAAAACACATGCAATCAGCATAATAGTATCCAAGAGGAAAAGAACGCTAGTTGAACATTATTGTAATGATACTTATTTGGCTTGGGTTAGAGGCGGCGTATGGTGTGCGATGGGTATGGAGATGTTGCAGGTGAATGATGATTTTCTTGAGCGGTCATATTGTTTTAACGACGAAAAGAGCATCAATAAACATTTGCAGAAAAAGTATAGTTGGCATTAATTTTAATTTGGCGGTAAAAGATAGAAATAAGGATAATGTATGTATTCGGTATGGTCGGATCAGATTAAAAATGTATTTGTACAAATGTGTCAAAAGTGACGGATTCTTATACAACTTTCAGCGTAAAAAATGCTATGTGTATAGACCTAGTAATAGTTATTTATACCATAAAGGTGGTACTATTAATTATTTACTAGTTGAGGACGATTTTGCGCCCGAGCGGAGCGAGGGCTGACAATAGAGTCCGAGACTGGTAAATTATACTTAACTGCTGCGTGGTGTATAACATTTTATCTGCTCCCACAGTTCTTTATGGTTCATGAAATAAAGATTAGGTTTTATTTTTTGACATTTTTTAATCAATTCATTTTGACAGTATTCGAAATATTGTAAAGTCGCCTTGGTTATTTGAATTTTGTCGTCTTTAAGGTGTTTATAAAGAGGACAAAGTGGAAAAACCCCAAGCTGAGAGCATTTTTGAAACGTAAGAATGACAGCTGTACACCTAAAAAGTCAAACGTTTTTACGAGAGAATAAGTCAACGATTTTCTCGTTCAGCCACACGATAACACATATTTGTTAATGAAGGTAGTGACGGTCTTAGGCACTGCAGGAGCATGCCTTTCTGATGAGTTATGCAAACTTACTTTGGACGTCAATTTCAAAAATTTCGTTAACATTTTTGTAGTTACAATTCCAGATTCTAAAAATGGTATGTCACGTACGTTTACAATTACTTCTCGCCTGGGTTCTGTTTCCCACCTAGAAATTTTCAAGAAATATATCAAGGNTGTCGCCATGATACTTCTTGCATGCCAACACCCACTCATCTCTTGCACAACGACAATGCCCACAAGAAGCCGCTGAAGGAGCGCGCCGAACTCGATAAACACTGACTATGTGGTGACCTTGACCCCAGGTGACCTTGGGGTGACCTTGACCCCAGGTGACCTTGGGGTGACCTTGACCCCAGGTGACCTTGACCTCAGGTGACCTTGACCCCTGGTGACCTTGGGGTGACCTTGACCCCAGGTGACCTTGACCCCTGGTGACCTTGGGGTGACCTTGACCACTGGTGACCTTGCCACGTCACTTCCTGGTCCAGAAACCGCCTCATATATCTACTACACTTTAACTCCAGGTTGATACTGAGCCTCCGATGACTGAAATGAAGCGGTCAAAACATTTTGAGAAAAATGTGAAAATTAGTAAACGCGAGGGGAATAATTATCCAGATTTTATAAATATTGCTAAATGTAATAACTGTACATT